GGCTACCACATCTGGCTAATTTTTTGATTTATTGTAGAGATGAGGTCTCGCCAAGTTGCCCAGGTGGGTCTCAAACCCATGGGCTCAGGCAATCCACTCACCTCAGCCTCCCAAAGCGCTGAGATTACAGGCTGAGCCACTGAGCCCAGCCTAAAATTTCTATTTTATACCATTGAGTATCCCTTGTCCAAAATGCTTGGGACCAGAAGTGACTCAGATTTTGTAATATCTGCAACATGCTTACTAGTTAAGCATGAGGAGCATTTCCTTTGAGCACCATGTTGGAACTCAAAAATTTTCACATTTTGGAGCATTTCAAATTTCAGATTTTCGGACTTGGGATGTTCAACCTGTATCAGAAACTAATGAAAGAAACATAAGGTACCTTTAAACATCTATGTTAAGCTATTACCAAAAGATTTATCTATTGAAATTTTACCTACCGACCTATACCAATTTTTAAAAATATCTCATCAAAATTAAAAATTAAATTCCAAGAGTCCTTTCAAGGCAGTTATTTTTAGAATGCATACAAACAGTTCAAAAGAAGCCTTTTCCATTTTCTTACTTAAGCTGCTGATTGGTTTCTATGAGCTCCTGTATCATGGTCTGTTGACGTGATGTTTCTTCCATCAACATTTTCAAATTCTGCCTCATCCTTTGTGATGACTGCTTGTCAAAGATGATGAGATCTACATTTAAAAAGATATAACACAGATAGTAAAAACAAAGGTAAGGCAGAAAATATTAAAATAAAAGAATTTTCCCTTTAAAGACCTTTGCACCTTCCACCTTAAGGAGCAAAAGCAGGACCTGATTACCTTGGAGATCCGCTCTTTGGACTAGGGACAGAGGGTTTAAGCCATGCATCGTCAACAGCGTGTTTATTCTTTGCCACTCTGCTTCTTCCTGCTACAATTCCAAGGGGAGAGAAAAGGGTTACCTTAAAATATAAAGTGAAGAAACACTCTCATACATCATTCCCTGTGTTTTCAGAATAGAACTTTTTCTCCAAAGGGTTTTAAAAATACATAAATTAAAACAAATTTGTTGTAACCAACTAGATATAAATAAGCATACAAGATTGCATTATATGGAATACTCACAGATAAGTCTCAATGATCTTAAAGGTGACTCACCTTTTCTTTAGTATTCAATTAACCTAATTTATAGCTGTTTCTTCTGACCTGGACTTGGTCTGGTTTAGCTAAATCTAAAACTTTCAATCAAGTTTCACTTTCGTAATGAAACAAATATCACTTTCATAATGACTAGGGTTACACACAAAAATTAAAACATGGCTGACCAGTTGAAGCCCATGTTTGATTTTATTTTTTAATTTGAAATATGTGGGGTACAATTCAGGTTTAGGCATACAAATGTCCATTATGCAGGAACCCTCATTGATGAGGTGTGCCCCTCCTCCTCTGGCAGTTTCCCACCACTGCCAATCCTGACCCCACCCACACCTGGCAGTTTCCCACTATTGCCAATCCCTCTGATGGTTACGATAGTTGTTCAAGGTTCGCTTTTGAGTGAGAATATGTGATACTCAGTTCTTTGTTTTTGTGATAGATCACTCAGTATTATATTCCATCCAAGTTGCTGTGAAGTTCATATTTTTGTCCTTCTTTATAGCTGTATAATATTCCATTGTGTATATGTACCACAATTTTTCATCCAGTCCTCTTTCGATGGGCAGCACGGTTGGTTCCTGGGTTTTTGCTATTGTGAATAATGCTGCAATAAACATGCATGTGCAGGTATCTTTTCCATAGAGTAATCTGAGCTCTTCCAGGTATATTCCCAGGAGGGGGATTGCGAAGTCTTATGGAAGGTTGATTTTTAGATATTTTAGGAATCATCACAGAGGCTGTACTAGTTTACACTCCCACCAACACTGTAGAAGTGTTCCCTTTTCGCCACATCCTCTCCAGCATGTTGTTTTGTTGAGTTGCTGGCGGTGGCCATCCTGACTAGAGTCAGATGGTATCTCAGTGAGGTTTTAATTTGTACTTCTTTGATGACTAGTGAGGTTGAGCACTTTTTTATGTAACTGTTGGCTGCTCGCATGTTTTCTTTTGAGAAGTATCTATTCATATCTTTTGCCCACTTTGTAAAGGGGCTGTTTTTTTCTTTTTGGCATGTTTGAGTTCCTTGCAGATCCTAGATGTTAGGCCTTTGTCACACAGTTGGCAAGTATTTTTTTGCAGTCTGTGGGCTGTCTCCCCTCTCTCTCAATGGTTTCTTTGGCTTTGCAGAAGCTTGTCAATTTGATGAGGTCCCACTTGTCTGTCTTATCTCTTATGGCATGAGCCATTGAGATTTTGATCAGAAATTGGTTGCCAGGTCCAAATTCCACAAGGGTGTTTCCTGCATTTTCTAAGGTTCTTATAGCTTGAGGTTTTATATTTAGGTCCCTAGTCCATTTAGAGTTGATTTTTGTGCATGGGGATGGGTAGAGGTCTTGTCTTAATCTTCTGCATGTGGTCAGCCAGTTTTCCCAGCACCATTTACTGAATAGGTTCTCCTCTCCCCAGTGGTTGATAGTGGGGGCTTCATCAAAGATGAGCTGGTTGAGAAATTGAGGTTTTGCTTCTGGAATCTCAATCCTGTTCCATTGGTCTATATGCCTGTTCTTGTACCAATACCAGGCTGTTTTGATTATTGTACACTATAATTAAGCTTAAAGTCTGGGAGCATTATGCCTCCTGCTTTTTTTTTTTTTTTTTTTGCTAAGGATCGTGTTGGCTATTCGTGGTTGTTTATGTTTCCATATGAATTCCTGTATTGTTGTTTCCAGGTCTGAGAAGAATGCTGTTGGTAATTTAATGGGTGTTGCATTAAATCTGTAGAGTGCCTTGAGTAGGATGGATGTCTTAACAATGTTGATTGTTCCAATCCATGAGCATACAATATTTTTCCATTTGTTTGTGTCATCTTTGATTTCTTTGAGCAGCGTTTTGTAGTTTTCATTGTAAAGGTCTTTGACTTCCCTGGTTAGGAAGATGCCAAGGTATTTCTTTTTTTTTTTTTCTGGCTATGGTCAATGGGGTTGTGCTTTTTATTCGGGTTTCTGTTTATTGTTGGTGCATAGGAATGCAACTAACTTTTGCACATTTATTTTATACCCTGAGACTTTGCCAAAGTCCTTTATCAATGAAAAGAAGTCTTTGACTGATTCCCTTGGATTTTCAAGGTATAGAATCATGTCATCTGCAAAGAGGGATAACTTAACTTCCTCTTTTCCTAGTTTGATACCCACGATTTCCTTCTCTTGTCTGACTGCTCTAGCTAGGACTTCCAATACTATGTTGAACAGAAGGGGTGAGAGTGGGCATCCTTGTCTTGTTCCAGTTATCAGGGAAAATGGTTCCAGTTTCGCCTGTTTAGCAGCACATTGGCTGTGGGTTTCTTGTAGATGACTCTTACAATTTTGAGGCATGTTCCATCTATGCCTAGATGTTCAAGGGTTTTTATCAAGAAGGGGTGCTAGATCTTATCAGAAGCTTTTTCCTTGTCTAATGATATAATCATGTGGTTTTGTCTTTACAAATGTTGGAGTATTTAATTACATTTATGGTCTTGTGGATGTTGAACCAGCCCTGCATGCTGGGGATGAAGTGAAGCCCATGTTTTAGACAGCCCTTGCATTCTGGACAAGGAAGTATAAAAAGGAAGCCTGTCCATGTGGATAACTGACTCTAGTGAAACCACCCTGAAAGACACTCTCAACTCTTGTATCCCTCATGTATTTATATCCTAAAACTGAGCTGGGAACTCTAATTCTCTAGATTAAGAGACTAAAAACATAACAATGTGAAGAAATAAAAGCAAGGGAAAAATTGATAAAGAGCATAAAATGAGACTAGAAATAGAGATGATTATAAAATAGACATTCACATCCAGGACATTAATAGTTTTCAATCATTTTTAATGTAAGCCATCATCAATAACTCAAAAAACAACAGATGCTGGAGAGGATGTGGCAAAAAGGGAACACTTCTACACTGTTCGAAAACAGTGTGGTGATTCCTGAAAGTTCTAAATCAACCTCCCATATGACCCTGCAATCCCCCTACTGGGAATATATCTGGAAGAACTCAAATCACTATATAAAAAAGATACCTGCACACGTATGCTTATCACAGCATTGTTCAAAGTAGCAAGAACATAGAACCAACCATGCTGCCCATCAAAAGAAGACTGGATTTAAAAAAAAAAAAGTGGTACATATACACAATGGAATATTATGCAGTCATAAAGAACAAAATCATGAACTTCGCAGCAACCTGGATGGACTTAGAGTCTATAATACTGAGTGATCTTTCACAGAAACAAAGAACTGAGTATCACATGTTCTCACTCATAAGTGAACCTTGAACAACTATCTTAATACTATAAGAAAAGGACTGACAGTAGTGGGAAACTGTAGGGGCTTGGGGAGGCGGGGAGGTGAGATTGGCAGTAGTGGGTATCTGCCTGGGGAAGGGAGGGGCACACCTCATCAACAAGGGTACCTGCATAATGAACGTTTGTATATCTAACCCTGAATTGTACCCCAATTTTAAAATAAAAAATTTAAAGGTGAAAAAAAAAACCACTATGTGAGGTACTTTAGATTTTTTTAAAAGTGTTTAAAGCATATTTGTGAAAATTTTATGTGGGTGAATTTTCAATATTTAAACACTTGAAAAATATAGTTTATCCAATAAATAAACTTCTTTAGTGGTGTAGTATATAAGTATAATAGCTTAAAGATTAAAAATTTAGACAATAGACAAAGTACAAATAAAAGTATTACTCTCCACATCCAACTGTCCTTCAGACATGAAATTTTTTTTTTCTATTTATTTACTTATTTATTTAGAGTTGGGGTCTTGCTTCATCACCCAGGCTGGAGTGCAGTGGTATGATCACAACTCCCTCTAGTCTCAAATTCCTGGGCTCAAGCCTCCTGAGTAGTGGGACTACAGACATGCACCACCATGCCAAGCTAATTTTTTTATTTTTTATTTTTTGTAGAGACAGGATCTCACTATGTTGCCCAGGCCAGTCTCAAGCTCCTAGCCTCAAGCGATCCTCCCACCACAGTCTCCCAAATACTGAGACTCCAAGTGTGAGCCATCATGCCCAGCTACAAGCATGAAATGATTTATCAACACAAAAACAAACATGTAATCTTTGATAGCACTGTGACTCAGAGTCAAATAAATCTTTCTTTTTGACTTTGACGTTTTCTCCTCCTTTTATTTTTCTATACTTGCCCTCCCTCTCATAGCTTTTCCCTCATTTACGCTGTAGGACTTGCCATCACAGTGTTGTAGGAAAACAAATCAGAGAGAACAAGACACCAAGGCTGACAAGCAGGAAGCTGCGTTTATTACTGGAATGCCGGCGTTGGGCCCAGCACACTCTAGTCACAAAGGCTGGGCCCTGATTGCAGTCGGGTGTCAGCTTATATAGGTTTTACACTGGCTCTGGGGGGAACGGGATTTTCATGGTGTAAGGGTTTGTACTTTTGGTAACAATAGCACAAGCTTGTGGTTTTGGCTGCAAGCACTGAACACACCGTTACAGGAAGGGGCTTGTGGTTTTAGCTGCAGGTACTGAGCACGGTGTTTTGCATTAACCAACTGTGACATTTTAATTGTGATATATGTTTTGAAGTGTTTTCCAAAAGCCCCCTACCACAACAGAGCTTAACTTCCTGGTGGACACAGAACTAAAATTATCACTGATGTCTATTTTAGCCAATAGTTCCATGTGGGTATCTCAGTGGATGTCTACTGTAACTCACAAAACCAAAATGCTCTGTACATAAGGTTACACGCTTTGATCAAAGTATACATACTGTTCCCTGATACCACTTATATGTTAAGATAACAAAGTAACTGCTTATACATTCTGAAAATAGTGGTGAATGGCATTTTCCAAAGTATGTGCTGCAGAACGTAGTCTAATGAAACGTTCATCAAACTCATGTTAAAAAAGTAGGAACTGCCATGTGCTAAATCCTCCTTTTGGAGACTGATTAATGCTATGAAGTCTTAGAGTAATGAACCCAGCACTTCCCTAAATTATTTAACTAAAGAATCCCTTTAAAGTCAGATTTTCCCCATTTGTAGATGCAGTATTCTTTGGCACATACTTTGAGGAGCACTGGCTTAAAAATAGTTCACATTTACCTGCTTTTCAGTCATGGTTCTGTCTGATGACTGATTAGACTCCTGGGTTTTAGGGGCTACTGGAAACATAGTTTCTTTTGTAGAATCAAAAGAAGTGGAAATTGGCAATAAAAAAACATTTGAGTTGCCTAAATGAAAAAAAGACAAAAAGCACAACAGGAGTTAAAGTAAGTTATATTTAAAATAACCCATTACTCTTGTAGGCCAATTTAGGCCCTTTCTCCAAAACTTTATGACTTCCTAGATAGCTGACTGTATGAATCATTTTAATAAACCGTATAATGTTCTCCTCTGGAAATAACATTCTGGGGATTTTTACACAGAGAGAAATAACTATTTTTTTAAACTATATAATGTGAAAAGCATGTGACATGAATCAACTGTTATCTTTTGGAAGCTGCTTCCTCTCAGTTCTTTATGCTACATTCAAGAAAACACAGACGACATACTCCACCAAGCAGAGGACACACCAATGAAGTATAGTTCATGCATAACTGGCTCCCAAGCACATAGAAAATAATGGAGCAGAAGCAGCACTTGAAGCTCTCGTGGCTGAGAACATCTGATAATCAATCAAAGGCAGAAGTCCACACATTTTAGAAATCCAACACGTTGCAAATGAGATGACATTTTTAAAAAATCACACCTAACATTAAAATGTAGAAAAAAGAAAGACATCTTCAAGACATCTTAAGGAATAAAATTTTAAAGACAACTAGATCATCTTCAAAGGAGTTACAGTCGAAACTTCCACTAACTTCTTAGCCATAACGATGGAAAACAGTGAACACACTTTAATATCTTTAATGTCCTGCAAGAAAACAACTGCCAATTTAAAATTCTAAACCCAGTGAACATATCCAGAATAAAGGCAAAAGCAAGATATTTCCAAACACAAAACACAAAACAAATCTCAAAGTTCTTCACTAGATATATTCAGCCTGTAATCCCGCGCCTTTGGGAGGCTGAGGTGAGTGGATTGCCTGAGCCCACGGGTTCGAGACCCGTGTGGGCAGCGAGATCTCATCTCTACAATAAATTAAAAAAAATCAGCCGGGCTATCGTGATAGCGCATGCCTGTAATTCCGGCTACTTGGAAGGCTGAGGCGGAAGGATCACTGGGGCCCAGCAGTTCGAGGCTGCGGTGGTCAGGAGTGGCCACTGTACTCCAGTCTGGGCGACAGAGTGAGACTCCAACTCAAAAAAAAAAAAAAATTCTAAAGAAGATGCTTCATGCAGAAGGCAAGGCTCCCTGATGGAAAGGTAGAGATGTAGAAAAAACAGAGCAAAGAAACAGGTGAGTGTGAACACAGACTGACTACACAAAATAAAGGGATCTTGTGACATTTACAAAAAGAGAATAAAAAAAACACATTAGCTGGGAGAAGGACAAATGGAGTAACAGCATCCTCAGTTTGTTTATATTCCAGGAGGAAGGTGGTGAGTGTACCTGTTCAGCATCTGCTTTTGTAAGTTTTGTAGGATGCTTGAGAGCTTCTAGGAAAACCATGAAAGAACAGAAGTATATAATTTTCTAACCAGTAAAGGGGAAAAAACAAAACATAATGACGAATAAAACGGGCCCAAGACTCCAATTCAAAAAAAAAAAAGGGCCCAAGGGCAACCTCTTTCAGGTCCCCTCCTGCTGTGGGAGGTTTTCTGTCTTCTTAATAAATCCTACTTAAAAAAAAAAAAAAAATGAGCCCAAAAGTGGAGAAAAATAGGCGGAGAAGAGGTGAAACAAAGAGAAAGCACATGGTACTTGATAATATGATAGATTTAAATCTGCATCAGTGATTACACTAAACGTAAGCAGCCCCCGTTAAAAGAGGAAAGCTGTCAAGCTGGAGTTTTTAAAAAAGCAAGCTATATGCTGTTGAAGGAAGGACACCTAGAACATCAAAAAACCATCTGCAACATAAACATACATAACAGTCAAAGGTGAAAGCATACAGAAAGGATTCTGGGAAGATGGCATAGTCACAACATCATGCTTAAATCTCTGATCATGTTAAAAAAAGAAGCACCTAGCTACACGGCAAAGCCCAAAACCCAGAAATAATACCGCAGGCCCTCCCTGTCCACAGGGAACTGGTTTCTGGACTCTGTGAGTACCTAAATCTGTGTAGTATGCAGTTGGCCTCCTCATCTGCAGTTCGCTGAATCCACAAATATAAAACTGACAGACTCAGAGGACTGACTGCATTTACAGCAAAAGTTGGTGACAAGTTATTCCCACACACACTGAAACGTAAGTGGGTGAGGACAAAGCACTAATAGCTGAAGGACCACACGGTACCAACAGCTGGGCAGAAGAAAAGAAAGCTGCAGACGGGAGAATGCCCTGATCCACTGGCGTTCGCTGACACCCACTTCAGCACTCACACGAAGCAGTGGGAAAAGTAAGAGGGGGTCTGCCCTCTTGTGCCATGAGAAGCACTAAAGATGCTGAGCCCTGAGGACACGCACAGGTGGCACGTGACGGTTCCACAACAGGGCCTGGGATGAGAAGGACACTACACAGGGACAAGAGAGAAGGAGGAGCGGGTCTGGCCCAAAGCAGGGACAGTAAGAGAGCCAGGAAGTCCCAGAAAGCAACGGCCACATTTAGAACACTATGCAAAAGCAACGAAATCCAAGAAGTTGGAAAAGCTTTCTTGGACTATAAACCAATTTCATGTAAAGATGAGCAAAGAAAGACACTGAGGCCTAATTCCAACAAAAGCTATTATTTAAAAAGAGAATAGCATCCCTACAGACAAGAAAACATACCAGAAAAACATGCCCACAGATCCAAACTATAACCTCTGTTTTAAAACAAGCTACAATACATGAAATATTCTAAGAGCAGGAAAGAACATAGGTAGGAATAAGAAAAACTTGGAAATGAGCTGATAGAGCCCAGGAATTAGTAATTTAAAAACAAAAAATAAAATAAAATAAAACTAGCCGGGTCCGGTGGCTCAGTCTGTAATCCCGCGCCTTTGGGAGGCTGAGGTGAGTGGATTGCCTGAGCCTGCGGGTTCGAGACCCGCCAGGGCAGGCGAGACCTCATCTCTACAATAAATCAAAAATGAGCCAGGCATGGTAGCACGCGCCTGTAATTCCGGCTACTCGGAAGGCTGAGGCAGAAGGATCGCCGGAGCCCAGGAGGTGGGGGCTATGGTGGCTGGAAGTGGCCACTGCACTCCAGTCTGGCAGACAGAGTGAGACTCCAACTCAAAACAAACAAACAAACAAAAAAAACTATTATTTTAGAAATGAAAATTAAACAAGAAGGAAAATGAGTGAATAAACATGACCAATAATGCCTTACAAGAAACAGAAGTTAAAAGCAAGACAATTTTTAAAATTAAAAAATAATAGGCCAGGCGCAGTGGCTCAAGTCTATAATCCCAGCACTTTGGGAGACTGAGGCAAGAGGACTGCCTGAGCTCAGGGGTTCGAGACCAGCCTGGCCAACGTGGCGAGACTTCATCTCTACAATAAATTAAAAAATTAGCTGAGCCTGGTAGTGCGCACCTGTAGTTCCAGCTACTTAGAAGGCTGAGGTAAAAGGAGCTCAGCAGGTTGACGCTGGTGTGGACCTGAGCATGCATGCTACTGCACTCCAGCCTGGGCGAAGGAGTGAGAGTCCAACTCAAAAAAAAAAAAAGAAATGAAGAAAGAATAAGAAAATGACAAATATCAAAGATAGGCAAGAAGTTCAAACATACAGATAGCAGTAACTGAAAAAGAAAAACCCTAACATACAGAATAGAACCAATAATAAAAACTATAGTTCAGAAAACGTTCCTAGCCAGGCTTGGTGGCTCAGCCTGTAATCCCGTGCCTTGGGAGGCTGAGGTGAGTGGATTGCCTGAGCCCGCGGGTTCGATATCCGCCTGGGCAACTTGGCAAGACCTCATCTCCACAATAAATCAAAAATCAGCCGGGCATGGTAGCGCGCACCTGTAATTCTGGCTACTCGGAAGGCTGAGGCGGAAGGATCGCCGGAGCCCAGCAGGTCGAGACTGCGGTGGCCGGGAGCAGCCACTGCACTCCAGTCTGGGTGACAGAGTGAGACTCCAACTCAAAAAAAAAAAAAAGTTCCTGATTTTAAAATTCATATGGAACTGCAAAGAACTTAGAATAACCAAAACAACTTCCCAAAAAAAACCAAGCCAGGTATAGTGTCCCATCCCAGCACTTTTGTAGGCTAAGGCAGGAAGATTGAGGAGGAAGCCAGAAATTTGAGAGCAACCTGGGCAACACAGCAAGACCCTGTCTCTACAAAAAAATTAAAAACCAGCCAGGTGTGATAGCACATGCCTATAGTTCTAGTGTTGCAAGAGAATCCTTGAGCCCAGGAGTTTGATGATGCAGTGAGCTATGATCATGTCACTGTACACAGCCTGGGTAACAGAGCAAGATCTCATTGAAGGAAAGAAGGCAGGCAAGAAGAAGGAAGAAGGGAAGGGAAGGAAGAGGTGGAAGAAATGGAAGGAAAGAGAGGGAGGAGAGGGGGGAGGAGAGGGAGGGGAGGGAGGAAGGAAAATGAAGGAAGAAAAGAAAGAGAAAGAACAAGAAGGACAACAAAGTTGGAGAACTAGAGGACTAACATTATGAGATTTCAAAACGTATGAAGCTACAGTAATCAAGACAGTATGGTACTGATGTCAAGAAAGGCAAACAGATCAATGAAAAAGAAGAGAGTCCAGAAACAGACCCATGCATACTATATGGTCAACTGATTTTCACCAAAGGTATGAAGGCAATCCAGTAGAAAAAGGACAGTCTTTTCATTAAATTATGCTGGAACAATTGGATATCCATATGCAAAAAAGGACTTTCAGTCATACCTCACAACATACAAAAAAGATTAACGCAAAATGAATAAGATACATAAATGTAAAACCGAAAATTACAAAATGTCCAGAAAAACATAGAGGAAAACCCTGGGTTGGGCAGATTTCTATCCTATGACATCAAAAGCATGATCCATACAAGAACAGATTGAGTCATAAAAATAAAAACTTCAAGCGGGGCTCGGTGGCTCAGCCTGTAATCCTGCTCCTTGGGAGGCTGAGGTGAGTGGATTGCCTGAGCCCGTGGGTTCGAGACCCGCCTGGGCAACTTGGTGAGACCTCATCTCTACAATAAAACAAAAATTTAGCCGGGTGTGGTGGCGCGCGCCTGTAGTTCCAGCTACTTGGAAGGCTGAGCGGAAGGATCGCTGGAGCCCAGCAGATGGAGGCTGCGGTGGCCACTCGGCCACCGTACTCCAGTCTGGGCGACAGAGTGAGACTCCAACTCAAAATAAATAAATAAATAAATAAATAAATAAATAAAAACTTCAACTCTTTGAAAGATACCATTATGAGAATGAAAAAAGAAAACACAAACTAGGAGAAAATAATTGGAAAAAAGGACTCACAGCCAGAATATAAAGAAATCTCGAAAGGCAAATAATAAGAAAGCAAACAACCCAACCGAAAAATAGGCAAAAAAATCTGAACATTTTGCCAAAGAAGACATACAGATGAAGTTGAGGACGTGAAGGACTGGAGCTCAGACATATGGCTGATAGGAACATAAAAACAACTCTGACTATTTGATCAAGGTTAAACACTCACCATAAGACCCAGCCATGCCATTCCTAGGAATTTACCTAAGAGAAATGAAAGCATTGTGTTCGCACAAAGACTTGTACATCAATGTTCATAAGAGCCTTATTTCTAATAGACAGAAACAGGGCACAACTCCAGTGTCCAGCAGTAGGTAAAGGAACAAACTGTGGTATAACCCTAGAATGGAGTATCTCTCAGCAAACAAAAAGGAATAAGCCAGACACAGGAAACAACACAGATGAACCTCAAAACAGTTATGTTGCAAACCAAACCAAAAAAAGGTAGACACTCTATCATTCCATACACATTAAACTCTAGAAAATGAAAACGGTGAGAGCAAACAGATCAGCGATTGCTGAGGAAATGGGAGGCCAGAGAGAGGGATTACAAAGAGAACAAGGAAGGTTGGGGTGTGTGGATATACTGACAATCTTGACTGTAGTGATGGCTTCATAGGTCTCAACTTCAAATTTTACACTAAATATGAGAAGCTAATTGTATATAAAATATATCTCAATAAAGCTGTTTATAAAATAAAGCTTTCTAAAAAATTTTTTGAAATTACATATGGAAAAAACATATCAAGTATCTGAGACTGCCAGCTGAGCATGGTGGCTCACGCCTGTAATTCTAGCACTTTGGAAGGCAGAAGCAAGAAGACTGCCTGAGCCCAGGCGTTCGAGACCAGCCTGGGCAACATGGTAAGACCTCGTCTCTACAATAAATCAAAAAAATTAGCCAGGTGTGGTGATGCGCAGCTGTAATCCCAGCAGCTTGGAAGGCTGAGGTGGAAGGTCAAGCCTGAGCCCAGCAGGTCAAGACTGCGGTAGCCGTGACTGTGCCACTGCACTCTTAGGCAACAGAGTGAGACTCCGACTCAAAAAAGAAAATCTGAGAATACTAACCCAGAACAACCATCACCAAGACACATTCTAATAATAATATTATTGAACTGCAATTAAAAAAATATTTTTCCTTTGTTCATCTAGGGAAAAAATGACATAAGGGGAAGATAAATTAAATAATAATCTGACTTTGATACCAATGCTTTATGCAGGAGGAAAAAAATAGTGATGTATTTAAGAAACTCAAGGAAAAGAAGGGTAAGTCAAAGAGTTTATATCAGCAAAACTGACTTTCGAGTATAAAAAGCACAAACTCATACCGATGTGTAAGAACTTAAGGAATGTTCCTTCCTGAGGAATCTAACAAAGGGTCTGCTTCAGACAGCCACAATGCCTAGAGGGACCTCAACACAAACACTGGGTAAGCATTAAGTACACCTGCATAGCCAAACATAAGTGAAGGCTAAAACGGAAAAAGCAGAACATTAAATGGCTATATGCCCTGACCATGTAGACAGAGGACAACTATTAAAACAAGCAGGGAGAAAGAAAAATGGGAAGAATATAAGCCAAACATGTTTTTAATGTTTTCAGTAAGCATACTGATGAGTGATATTTAGAAACATAGTTCAGCCGGGCTCGGTGGCTCAGCCGGTCATCCCGCGCCTTTGGGAGGCTGAGGTGAGTGGATGGCCTGAGCCTGCGGGTTTGAGACCCGCCTGGGCAACTTGGCGAGACCTCATCTCCACAATAAAGCAAAAAAATGAGCTGGGCGTGGTAGTGCACGCCTGTAGTTCTGGGTACTCGGAAGCCTGAGGCGAAGGATCGCCAGAGCCCAGTGGGTCGAGGCTGCGGTGGCCAGGAACAGCCACTGCACTCCAGTCTGGGCGACAGAGTGAGACGCCAACTCAAAAAAAAAGAAACATACTTCTGAGGCTGGGCATAGTGGCTCACACCTGTAATCCCAGCACTTTGGTAGGCTGAAGCAGGAGGACTGCTTGAGCCTGGGAGTTCAGAACCAGCAGAGGCAGCAGAGCAAGAGCGCGTCTCTGTAACAAAAAAAAAAAACTCAAAAAATTAGCCGGGCACAGTGGCACATGCCTGTAGTCCCGGCTACCCAGGAGGGTGAAGTGGGAGGATCACTTGCGCCCAGGAGGTTCAGGCTGCGGTGAGCCATGATCACACCACTGAGCTCCAACCTGAGCAGCAGAGTGAGAACCCCAACTTAAAAAAATAAACAAATAATCTTGTATGTGTAATATGGAATAAAATTAATGAGTATATATATTCTTGAGAACCAGGATTCTCAGTATGAAAAAAAGAAGATACAGAAATGATAAAAAAGTCGTTAAGTAAAAGTTCTGCAGTCTCAATCTGAATTGGAAGTAGAACACATTAGGCATCTTTAACATCTGTATCTACAAATAGATATAGGTATTCTCACTCTGCCTTCTGACCTAAAACAATGACTGACTCGGGATCCTTAGTGTATAGCTAGTAATTGTCATATTTCCCTTGAAAAGAAACCACAGCATTTTAAAGAAATGAACTGATTTCAGATCTGGGATGGAAAGTGTCCCAGAAAACAGATAGCAAGGAAGATCACAAACTATCAGAGGCGGAGCACAGTGGCTCACGCCTGTACTCCCAGCACTTTGGGAGGCCAAGGCAGGAAGATCACTTGAACCCAGGAGTTCAAGACCAACCTGGGCAACACAGTGAGACCTTATCGCTACCAAAAAAAAAAAATTAGCTAGGTGTGGTATTGTGTGCCTGTAGTCCCAGCTACTCAGGAGGCTGAGGCGGAAGGATCGCCGAAGTCCAGGAGCTCGAGGCTGTGGTGAGCTGTGACTGGCCCTACTGCACTCTAGCCTGAGTTACAGAGTAAGACTCTGACTCGAAAAACAAAACCAAAAAGAAACAAACAAAAAACACTGCAAGGGCGCTCTTAAAAAGGATGGGCTTGAATAGGCTCCAAATGGTCAAAAATCTGACAATATGAGCTTCAACTATGATAATAACCACAATGAAATGAAACCTATCAAATATGTTCATGATTACAGTGACACGAAAAATTTTTTCGAAAGAGAATTGGCTTCAGAAGATAAACCAATTCATTACCTTGAACACTGGTAAATAACTAGAAAGAATGAAGCATTTACCCTGCCTTTCCTACATGAATTACACTGCTGGGTTTCCTAGTGACAGTGAAGGGATTAGTATAGTAAGGGGAAAGGTTATGACAGAATTAGAACAGTCTGGTCAGGTGAGGTGGCACATGCCTGCAACCCAGCACTTTGGGAGACCAAGGTAGGAGGTAAGCTTGAGGCCAGAAGGTCAAGAAAAGCCTGGGCAACGCAGTGAGACCCAGTTTCTCTGGGCAGAAAAAAAAAAGAATATTTTGCAGCCCTCAATGAACAAATGGTAGTCATCAAGAATCAACAGCTGCCAGAATCACAAAGAGAAACAATGAGAACTTACACACCTCCTAAGTCCTGTCAAGCATCTCCCAAAGAATCCCCAGAGGGACTGAATCTGAGTCGTACAGGAATTAGCCAGGGCAGAAGAACATACTGAACTGCTGTAAGCAATCAGCAAAATTCAGACTGTAAGAAATACGTAGGCCAAACCATCCTGAGTTTAAAATTTTTTTAATCGGCTGAGACTGTATGATAGTGCATAAGACTACACATTTATGATAAAGCTTTCCTAAAAATACACAGAAGTTATTATTCTGAAAGCCAGAAGAATGACAATTAAACAGGAAAGCAGGCTTTGTGACTGGGACAGGGCAACGGAGGGGCTCTGGCATGTCTGAGTGGTATCGTCTTATCATGATCCATTCAGTTATATAGTTGGTATGTGGGCTCTTTATTTTGCAATAAAAAATTCATTTTACAACATCAAAAAAAGTTAAGGAAATGCTAACCAAAAGAAAGGTGGTACAGATCTAAAATGCTGAAATCTGAACTGCTCCCAAATCTTAAACTTTTTGAGTGCCGACATGCTGCCACAAGTGACAAATTCTACACCTGACTTCAAGTGACAGGTCACAGTCAAAACTTTGTTTCATGCACAAAATTAAAATTTAAAAATCAGGGCCAGGCACAGTGACTCATGCCTATAACCCAGCACTCGGCAGGAGGGGCAAGATAGGAGGTTCACTTGAGGTCAGGAGTTCGAGACCAGCCTAGGCAACATAGTGAGAAGCACCTCTACAAAAAAATAAAAGTAAAACATTAACTAGGTATGGTGGCATGCACCTGTAGTTCCGGTTACAAGGGAGTCTGAGAAGGATCACTTTAGCCCCGGAGTTCAAGGCTGCAAAGAGGTATGATTGCACCACTGTACTCCAGCCTGGGCAAGAGTAAGACTTTGTCTCCAAAAACAATTTTTTAAACTAAATTTAATTAAAAACATCTTATAAAACTAGCTTCAGGCTATGTGTACAAGGTATATACGAGACATAAATGTATTTTGTGTTTACACTTGAATCCCATCCCCAAAATAGTCTAACATCAAAAAACAAAACCAAAAAATGAAATCTGAAATGTTTCTGGTCCCAAGCATTTCAGATAAGGGACACTTGACCTCTACAGTTCTACAGCCAGACTGCTTGGATCTGAACTGCGGGTTCTGCCACACAGCCAGGAGAGTACTCACCTCTGTGCTTCAATTTCCTCATCATAAAATGAGTTTAACAGAAGCACTTAGCTCAAAGGGTTAGGGTAAAGAGTAGAGAGCGAACAGGGAAAAGATATAGAGCAGTGCCTGGCACACAGCAGGGCAGTGGTGGTGGTCAAAGTTGGTGCCCGCCACCTGTGTTATCTTAAGTAGTTTCTCAACCTCTCTGAGTTTCAGTTTCCTTACTGAGCTTAAGACAGCTACCTAGCAGGGCTATGAGGAGGTCAAAAGGAAAGACGTACAATGCACCCAGTATGATATTCAGTGAGCACTAGGCGTTTTCCGTGACCTCCCAGCATCTGGAGTCACTGGCCACGTCAGACATACCTCACAGTACGTTACTCGTGCACTTTACACCTGGTCGTTCAAGTAGATCTCAGTGCGATGATCCCCCAGCAGTCTCATGTCCGAACCTGGATCTTCACCTAGGTTTCAAAAGACAGACAGACCCAAGTGTTGAAATGTCCAGCCCCCTGGTAAGAGCGGTGTGTGATAACCCCAGAGCAGACATCAAGGCACTCAAGGCACTGGCCATCACTGAGACAGACTCAGAGCCGAATGACCGCTGGTGGCTTCCCAGCTCCTTCCCCTCTGTCTTTCCCCTTCGCACATTTCCTCTCCTGGCTCTGTTGAAACATTCAGTTGTCACAACTCCTAAAGGTGAGACTGTGGGAGCAGGGGCTAGAGTCAGGGATGACTGGTACATGGCACAGAAAGTCAAGCGTGGGAAGCAAGACATGACTGCGACCTTCAGGCACTGTCTGGGTTTCCGGGAGCCTCCTGGTCACACTGCCCCTCACAGGTCAGAAACCCGGAACATGAGCCGCAGGTTAAAACAATTATTGTTTCACCATTTTGGACACGGGTAGGGGGAAGCTGGAAACAAACCACTGCTAGCAATTGTTCTTTCCCAAGTGAGTCACACCAAGCCTGTAAGCTTTCTCAAAAGAATAGTTTGGGTTTTTTTGGACTTGGAGTCTCACTCTTTTGCCCAGGCTGCAGTGCAGTGGCACACTCATGGCCAGCACAGCCTCTACCTGCTGGGCTCCAGCAATCCTTCCACCTCAGTCTTCCAAGTAGCTGGAACTACAGGCATGTGCCACCATGCCCGGCTAGTTTTTCGATTTACTGTAGAGATGAAGTCTCACCAAGTTGCCCAGGCTGGTCTCGAACCCATGGGCTCTGGCAATCCTCTTGCCTCGGCCTCCCAAAGAGCTGGGATTATAGGTATGAGCCACCGTGCCTGGCCAAAATAGATCACTATGATAAATAAACGTGCAATGCTCCAGAAGTCTCTACTCTTTTTAAAATGCGAACCCCCTACTCTAAAAAGATGCCGCCTTGCAGCTGAATATCCCCACGGAAGAATGGAACTGCCACAAATAAGGAAAGGGGCACAGGGTGGGAAGTCATCTCTGCCGCGTCGCGCTGCCCAGGAGCGGACAGCCGGCTACCGACGTCTCCGCAAAGCCAAAAGCCGAGAGTAAGATGCCAAGGCAGGCAGCCGCCTCCTCCCCAAAAAGAGGTGGGAGAAAGGCCAGGGTCTACTCTGCAATGTCTCCAGTAAAGAAACATGCAGGGGATGAAACCCAGCGCGGGCAAAGCGTTCAACGGCACTACGATCACAAACAAAGTGGAAGTGAAATACTACCGTTTGGGGTTTTTTAAAAAATGTATTTCCCTCCCAAATTCTTTACTATTTATTTATTTATTATAAAGATGCGGGGTGCCATTCAGGGTTAGATAGACAAACGTTGATCCTGCAGGCATCCTTGGTGATGAGGTGTGCTGCCCCCCCCCCGGCAGTTTCCCTCGACTGCCAGACCCATCCCGCCTCCCCTGGCAGTTTCCCACGCCTGCCAGTCGCAACGACAGACTCAGAGTCGACCGCACTCAGGGATCCACCAGAGAAACGAAGAGAGTGCAGAGAGGACAGTAAGAGTATACCATAGACTTAGGTTAAGAGCATGCGATAACCCAATAAATATGTAATCGGCTTGTGGACAACAGCACAGCCATTTTTAGTTTTCTGTCTTAAAACATAACCTGTAACTGTTTAAAGTTTCAGGTATGGGAAAGAACTGCAAAGCTCCGGTCACAAGCTTCAACCCCTTCCCTTATCTCATCTCATCCCCTGCCCTTAGCAACACCCGATCAGGTGCCAGGGGGTAATCGCCTAAGTTTCCAGATGTCTCTGCAACTTCCCTAGCTCGTGGACCAAGGTCAGCGCGAGTCAGGCTAGCCAATCCTCCACGATTAAGCTGACCACCAGAGGTTACTACCCAATTAAACGGTAACACAACTGGAAAGCCCCCCAAAGTCCTCCCTTTGTGTAAAAGCACCAAAGGCATCTGCTTCAGGCCGTCCGGGCCTCTGAAGGTACTCCGCCGAGTCGGTTGTCGACAGAGGTGCAG